ACGCGGACGGACAGACGGGCGCCCGGACAGACGGACGGAAATTGGTATTACATAGGCTCGCATCTGCTTAGCAGCTCGCCAAAAATTGTTGATTTTTAAAAATTTTATTTATCCCTTCGTACTTGTACCTAACATGTTAAACCACCAAAACAGACTTTACCCAACTATTTAGTTATCAGGAGTGACAACATTGAGTTCCACCCTAAAATTAGCCAGTATTGTGTCCTTACACGTTTACACTCGACAGTCATTTTGAGTGTGCTTCAGTGTGAGTTGAAAAAACAGACCTCCACAAATTATCTGTAAAAACGTGAGTTGTATTTTACTATTCATCTTTTCATCATTTGGCGCATTATAGGTCTGTACTTCTTACTGTATTAGTATAATACTTCAATATTATAAACCTTTTCGTACTGAAAAAAATTGCCAGTTTTGCTATTGTGAGTTTCCTAGCGTTATGCATTTAACATAACGCTAAGAATCATCCTAGCTACAAATCTAGGGCAAAAGATGAGAAATCATAGAATACAACCATATCAGTGGTATGTAAAAAAAAAAATGTCAAAAAAAGGGTGCGCCTAGTCGGAGTAACTAGCACATATCGCATACATGTGCAGGCTGTGTGCAGGCCGTGTACCTAAGACTCTACTATCGCTGGACCATGTCCAAATGTTAAAAAAGCAATCCGTAGAGTCCTAGTTACTCGGACTAGGGTGCGCCAGTGTTTGGAATAAACTCCTCAGTAGGTTGGGAAACCAGGCGTGTGGCCTAACGTACAGCGCAGCAATACGGAGGCCACACAAGTGGGGCTAGGCAAAATCATACGGTCATTCGTTGGCGAATTTTCAAAAATTAGAGACTTTACAACTTGTTGATTCAACAAGCATTCGATGGAAGTGTTTATACGACTGTAGTGCATGAACAAAATATTCGAAATCACAAATAATGGCGGTGGACGTGCACCCGACCATTGCTTAGCGCTGGTAAACAATGCGTGCTACTTAATGCAAAGTACCTTGCATTGACCTGTGACGTGTTTACACTCGACAGTCATTTTGAGTGTGCTTCAGTGTGAGTTGACAAAACAGACCTCCAAAAATTATCTGTAAAAACGTGAGTTGTTAGTATTTTACTATTCATCTTTCCATCATTTGGTGCATTATAGGTCTGAACTTCTTACTGTATTAGCATAATACTTCATACTGTTTCCTGAACGACGCGCAGCCCGCACATATCGCATACATGTGCAGGCTGTGCCGTTCAGGAAACAGTCGCCGGTGTACCCATGCACACATGATGTGCCCGACTGTGAATGCGGGCGTGCGCTTGGCCGGCGTGTCGTACGTCATCAGTTTGACCTCACAATTTAAATGAATCGTACACAACAACATTCAAGATGGCTTTTACTGGCACGGCAGTTCGGCGAGGCTCGGTTTCCAAATTGAAAGTGAAATTTCTCTTTTCTTCTCTAAGGTATGTGAACCTCCCACCACCATTTGTATTTCCAATTCCCACTGAAGCCTACAGGGGCGCACAAGGCAGATTGAAGACTGTTTTGTGGTGAAATCTGACGATTTTGATTGGGGGTACGAGTAAAAATGGTCAAAACACGTTAATGGTAACCATATACGGCCACGTACCTAAGACTCTACTATCGCTGGATCATGTCCAAATGTTAAAAAAGCAATCCGTAGAGTCCTAGTTACTTAGACTAGGGTGCGCCAGTGTTTGGAATAAACTCCTCAGTAGGTTGGGAAACCAGGCATGTGGCCTAACGTACAGCGAGCAATACGGAGGCCACACAAATGGGGCTAGGCAAAATCATACGGTCATTCGTTGGCGAATTTTCAAAAATTAGAGACTTTACAACTTATTTTGATTCAACAAGCATTCGATGGAAGTGATAATACGAATGTAGTGCATGAACAAAATTTGTCCGAAAATTTGGGACTCTCAATACTGTGTATGAAAGTCCCAAAACTTAAGGTATCCATATCGTGCAAATGTTTGTGCTGCATAATAAAACCAGTGTGAATCAAATTTGCAAGCTTCTTACTCACTACAGTTTCTTCAATAATTCCCGAAACTTTTGCCTCGCAAAGTTGCTGTTGTGAGCATTGCATCACCAAAAATTCAGCTTTTATTAATTTTGCAGAGAGTTATCGAAATCCATACGTGAGACATCACGTCGATGTGTACTGAAATGCATTGTGCAAAAAGACTCAGCTATAACATTTTCATCGTGTAGATAAAACAGCGCCCTCTTGTTGATCCGAGTGAATGCAAAATGTTTCATTTTTTAACACAGGACGCCATGTTCATTTGGCCATCGATTAAAAAAACAAGTCAGCTGCAAGGTTCTACCTTCACCTACCCAGAATACATTGGGAATCACACACACATTTCCAGACCATGGAGACTGACGTGGATTAGGGCTGAGTCAATTCGAATAATTGAATATTCGAATATTCGACCTTCCAATCGATCGAATATTCGAATATTCGGTTATTTGGCCATTCCAAATTCCCTCAAAAGCAAAAATATGCCATACATGTACATGTAGTCAACGTACGTGCGCACGTCAGCATGCCATGTATGATTTCTTCACAGGTAAGTCAGGTATTTGACAACAATCAGTTGTTCTTCTGTCGTCAGTAATTTAAAGATTAACAATAACCAGAGAAGCTAGAGTGAAGGATTCCTTGTTTGCATGGGGGACGTATTAAGCCGTGAACCCCAAACACGGCGGGTGGCGTCAGCTATTGTGACTCTCCGACCCTTAACTCCCAAACAGGAACCGAGCATATCTATTACTGGAAGCTTCTTGAAGTCTACAAAACGGTGTACTTCCTAGTCACAGTATTGAGGATAAAAAAATCACTTTTATAATAATAACTCGCACTTTTGTCACCAAGAATTGAGGAAATGATTTTATATCATTTTAAATAAACTTATTCTCAACAACCAAAAACTCCAAGAAAAAACCTATATTATAATGTCTTTATTCAATGAAATATGGGTCTTTGAATTGTAAATGCATATTTAAGTTTATGCAAATAATGGGCGTGGGCGCGGCATACACACGCCCCAGCTTGACAGGTGCAAAGCAGTATTTCCTTGTTTGCCCACAGGGGATGTATTATAAGCTGTGTACCCAAAACACGAAGGGTGACATTTCAGCAAAAAAATAAAATAAAAAATCGCCAGCCGAGCTCTGGCGGGCGCATTGTTGGCGGGCTAATTAGGGCACAGGTGCGCTGACCCGGTTCTTTTGTCTGGCTAAGTGCGTGCTCTGGAGATAACTTTCTAACAAATAGGCCACTAAAAGGTTTGGAAATTCCAACTTGCAACATTTTGATACATTTTGTCTAGCTGTGGTTTTCTATGCTGGGAATCAGGGGTACGGTGCGGTGAGTTGACCGCAAAGTCTGTCTGGCGAAATAAAATGAGAGCTCTTTTGAGTTTGAAATCCTCTCTGTTGTCTGCCCTTTTTCTTGCATTTTGCTCGACTTGGAGGACATAAGCCAGAGGTTCCCGCTATTATTACTGAAAGTATAATTGCTGAACTAGTTTTTGAAGTGTTTATGTATGTTTTATTTGTGCAAATATTGGGTGCAATTAGCAGACTAACCCAGCGAACAAAGCTGATGGACAGCGAACGAAAATGTGTTCGATAAAAGGGTGCTCTGATCAGTTGAGAGAACTAGAATATTTTGTACACGTATTACGGAGGCATTGAGGCGAACATCTAACAGCCATAATAAATTTACCCCTAAAAGTAAACAAGAAATTCTTTAAAAAAAATCCCAGAGTCCGTAACGTAAATGAACCAAGGTTTTCAAAACGTTTTAATGTAATGTTGGGGTTCATGACAAGTTTTCTACAACACCGCCACGTGCTGTGGGCAGCATACTGCGTGCAAGGCGATTCCCTATAACCATGTGCATTCGACACGATTGAACAGGCGATGGAAAACTTTGGGGGGAATTGGCTTCGCTGTATCAGTGTAATGTACCGCTTCTTGTGCGACCCTGTGCGAGCAGAACGTCCTCAAAGTAAGTACATGAAAACAGAAAATACAAAGGCCCAAACAGAAAAAAGAAATCAAATTCTTTGCATGAGATTGCAGAGGCCTTCTACATCGATGTTGGCATGCCATTTTCGCGATGTCAATAGCCGATCCAGTAAGCCCCTCCCACTGCGCACGTGGGCAAATTAACACGTGCTCCTCTCCAATGCCACGCTGCATTTTCCTATGCTGCACACATGTACATGTAACACCAACTTGCCAGGATCGCATCGGGGAAAACAGCGGCGGTTTTCTTTTGAAAGTAGGGATTGTAAGTAGGACAACAACAAACAAAAATACGGACAACGGAAACATTACTACTCATGCTAGAAGTTTGATATGAAAAGGTGTCAGGAAGTGTTTTGTGAAGACATGAAAGACAAAATGTCTTGTTTATCTTGTGGGAAGCATCAGCGATTGGTGTTGCAGTCCGGCGTTAAAAAAATGGGTTGGCTTTACTGCAAGCACTCCCCAAGCAGAAGTAATATATGTGTGGCATTATTGCTTGGCATATATACAAGCTACTTTTATGGGGTTTTTTGGCAGCAACTTGAAACTTAACTTTGAGAATACACTTTTGTTGTTAAAAAAAAAGTTTTTTCCACCTTTTTATTTCATTGCATATCACCACCGAATATTCTTATTCGAAAATAAATATTCAAATATTCGATTATCGATCGAATAACCGAATATTCGAATATTCGGCACAGCCCTAACGTGGATGGTTTTTGAACTGCCAAAAACTTGCCTTAAAATTGGATTTAAGGTCTCAAATTTCGCAGGTGACATGCTTGCAACTATATCATTTTGATGTATGTGTTGTGTGGGCATTAATTAGCCTAATGGTGAGTAAAAAAACGTCAGTAGTAATTTTGCACGTTTTTATGCACTCACGGTCCCAGTCTGGAACAAAATATTCGAAATCACACAGTACAACTACAAGTGATATACCGAGGAGAATTTTTTTGTCGATTTGCAGCTTCCACGATTTTCTACAAACCGTCCAAACATGTCATGCATGTCAAAGTGCGAGTCGGAAATCTGGCCAAAATTCCTCTCGGAAAAATCTTTGTCATGTTTGTGCATCAAGGAGCTTACATTTTTCTTTTCAAAATGCACATCGTCAGATTTTTTTTTATTGGAGACTAATCCAAAAGAGGTAGGTTTTTATTTGGAACTAGGAAAAATCCGGAACTAGGCCTAGTAGTAGGAATTAAAACAACTGTACCAGAGCGGGACGTTGCATAGACAAAGCCATGTTGACGGGTCCATTTAGTCTAACTTATATAAGGCCAAAATAATGGCGATCGTGAAGTGTAGGGCTGGGTTCCTGTAAGGGAACAAAATCCACTTTAAAATTATTGGACCTACCAAACTAGTTGGCGACATTCTCAATAAACAGGTAGGGGCCTATGTCACTCATAGATAGAGGGCAGGGTTTTGATTTTTTTAGGGAAATTTGGGGGATAAAATGACGATGACACAGCGCAGCGACAACACGCGACCCGAAAATAAAGATGGCGATCACCACACGATGTACCGTGAGCACGCACAGCGCGCTGAATCGCAAGGCACAAACTGCGCAGGAAAATCGTGATTTCTACCCCAAGAATCTGTTCAAAATTGCAATTGAATAAAGTCTGCTTTTGATTGTAAAGGTGATTTTTGAGCAATAAAAATATTTTTGACTCAAGGCCTAATTTGATCAAAACAAAACAGGGGCCCTACACTTCACGATCGCCAAAATAATACATATTTAAAGACGTACCGCCTGACTCCACTTTACCAACTTGACAGGTCTAGACACTTCCCTCGTTGTCACTCTCTCTGCTGTCTAGCTCTAGCTCTCTCTAGTGTCAGTCTGTTGACTTGTGTTGTTCATATTTCATGTATTTTTATCTGTATCATATCCACGCGCGCTTACGCTGCAACTGCAGTCCACTATCGGATATCGGGTGTGCCGGTCGTATCTCCATCTCTATTTAACGAAGACCAATGTATTTCTCGAACGACACACTAGAGGTCTACTGCCCCAAAATGATCCGAACAAAGATTAGTACTACATCGATTGAGGGCGCTGTCTATAGAGAGGGTTCGCGCGAAGACGGGGGGGGCAGTCAGTCAACTTCGTCCCCAGGGTGTTGAGCTGTTCGCGCCCACCACTACATGCTCGCTCACTATTGGAAACGAGGCTGGAAATAAAGCAAGCATTTGGGGACGAGGTTGAGGGGACAGTCCGCTTAACCCTAAAGGGGCCGGGTTATTTTGACCATCTCTCAGCCGGGGGGGGGGGGGGGGGGGGGGGGGGGCGGATTCCGCCCCCCCCCTAAGATCTCGGCCATCGAGTGACGAAATTTTTGAAACTCAGCACATGCATAGAGCAACTCTTCCTAAACATGCCCAAGAAATTTCATGACTATAGGTCAAAGGGTTATGGCTAATTAATTATTCATATGTATGAATGGCAATTCTGCTCGGTGTACACGACGAATATGCGAAAATTCAGTTTTCACGTCGCGAAAAAAATTTTTTTTGAAGCTATCGCGAATGTTGAGGGGGGGGGGCGGATTCCGCCCCCCGGCCCCTTTAGGGTTAAAGTCATAGTCAATCACTTGTAATTTGTGCATTTTGTCCGTTTGAAGCAACAAAAGTGTTCAAAATCTAATGAAGGATACTGAACAACAAACCTGATGAAGTTTCAGCTCAGCTTCAGCTGTATATTCCGAGAAAAACAGCATTCTAGGATCTCAATTTTAAATCAAAAGTTGCTGAATCATGTTTTGAATTGAGCCTGAATTAGAATATAGAATAAAAAGACTAGATCGGCAGCGCGTCCACTCGCGCCCATTCACTGTGCGATAAATCTCCGCCATTTTTATTGTCTCTTGTGGACGCGCAACAAATAAACGTAAAGTAATGGAGCTAAATGTATCTTTCCTCCAGCACGTGACCAAGCTCAACGCGCGCGGTGCAAGAAATGTGCGCCGAGTATTTACGCGATGCGCCCACGCGTTAGTGATAATGGTGCACTGTGCGCGTAAACGGCGTTGCGTTAGTCACGTTTTCGCGCATTTTGTATCTTTCCTCCAGCACGTGACCCTCCATGAAAGTCCGCGCGTGTGGACGCCCTGCCGATCTAGTCTTTTTATTCTATATCTATGGTCGTGGTCGTGCCAATGCTTGCGCGCGCTGCGCCCAATAACAAAACGAACTACTAATTTAAATTTTCCTACAGTGCTTCTTAAGACGCACCGTTGGAAATGCCTTCTTTCGTTGATTTCTTCAAAATGAGAGCTTGGCAGAATTAGAAAGAATAATTTCACAGGGAGTTTAGTCCCCTTACTATCTTTTTTTCGACCAGTATGTTTTTCAACAATAATTACGCCTGTTACTTTTTTTGGATAGCTGCAAATGATGGACTCCGGCTTTAAAAAGGTAAACAGGAAGTACCAACCTCGTTCCCCATGGGTACGATCTTGCTGCGCCATGTTGTTTCCCATCATGCCTTGCGCGATCTTAACCTCTGGAATTGTGTGATTTAAAGGGAATATACATCATTTGCTTTTGCTGTAATTTTCAGAAATGGATGGAATTGGGGGGTTGGAAATATATAGCAAATATAGTTACACTGACCTTTTTGAGGTTTTGGGTTCGAAAACGCTATAAAAACCAAGAAAAACAATCATTTTCCTGTAGTCTGGTTCCCTGACTCCATATAAGAAGAAACAGAGCAGTTTACATACATTGGGGAATTGTAAGGTCATTGGGGAATTGGGGAATTGTAAGGGAACCAGTCTAGCTGGCTCGTGCCCGTTCATAGGTTTGTAATCGATTGCAAACAAGTGCGATGGTCAATTGTGGCCAGTATTTGAAAAAAAGCCAGTTTTTTCCAACGCTGATCGGCCGATCAGCGTTGGAAATTGATACAAAAATACCACTTTTCTTGAAAATGACAGTATACCAGGTGCCATGATTTTACAGGATGCTTTACACTGTCATTCACTAACAGTCCAGCAAGGTATTTCAAAATGATTTGGTAGTTTTATTTTTTTGCAAATGTTGTATTTTCCCTTTAAATGTGTCAAAATATGGCACATTATAATTAGGCTGCAGTTTATCCGTTTTACGTGCCGACGCCATCTTTAAAATGTTAAAAGTTGTGACTTTGAAGAATCAATCCTTTCAAACAAAACGTGTGGACGTTGCGTTATCTAGCAAAGATTTGTATTAAATTTACGTACCCCTTTCGTCCCTTTACAACCAAAGAAACAGGGTTTTTTTAGCGACGAGGCTGCCATAATCCATATCGTACAGGCATCGCGACTTTTGATTAACATTTTTTTTTCGTACTTGACGTTACGTGCAAAGCACGCAAGCGCATTATGGGCGCGCCCGGCAGCGATATTTTTTATTACACAACTATCTGGGGTACCTTGTGCGCTTTCCTATGGGGTATGGTTATTATAAACAGGCTTGAGTGGAGGTTACTATTTTTCAACTTGGTACAGATTTCGGACTTTATTTCCCTTTTAAAAAAAAAATCCTCCCAGAGCCTCGGATCAGAAAAGAAAAAGAAAATTGCTGCTATGCAAGTAGTATATACATTGTAACTGGAAAATAACGTTTCTAAGATAAAACTTTGACTTGTTGACAAAAAAGAGCAAAAGAGACAGAGTAACGGGAATCGAACTCGGGACCTCTGATCATTAGCCAGCCTGCATAACCACTAGGCAACTGCGGTGCTCGACCGAAGTTCGCAATTCATAAATTATAGGCCTATACTTTCTCACATGTGGAGAGAGTATACGCGCGCGCGAAAAGGCATGGTAAGGCCCATTGATCTCCATATACACAGACTGGATAGGACATCGCGCCGTGTTTGTGCACGAATGCGCGGCCGAACAATGGCGGCGCGTTTACTGTCAGACGGGTAAACGCGCATTGTGCTTTCACTTTGTTTACTTTGGAAAATGGACTATTGTGTGGAATTTTTCTTACAGAAGGGAGTTCAAGCGTTCCTCCAAAACAATCTTTAAAAAAAAATAACTGAACGATGAAGAGTTACCCTCAATCCCACCAAACAGCTTTTCCACACTTTCTTGATATACACTTTCTTATTATGCATTTTCGAAATTCAAGAACCCCCCCCTTTCCTTTTCCTTATTTTTTTTTAAATCCCTCCTCCTCCCAATAATGATTGTAAGTAAATTGCCATTTCATTTTTGGCACATTGGTCATTAGAGCACACTGAATTACTCCATCCACGAAATGAATAATTGTATTAATAATATGCTAAAATGACATCATATTTTTTTAACTGAACACTCACACGAGAAATTGTATGGATATTCATTCAAATGATTGATATTTTATTAAAAAACCTGAACATACATCAATTACAATCTAAAAGGTAAACAAACCTTAATTTTACAAAGTTATCAGTAAAAACTTCTTCCCGTCCCTAGATTGATCAGGGAATGACATCGTTCACCTCTTGTGATATTGTGTGAAAGGAGATGAATCACAAACCAAAATAGTACTATACTTATTATGTCAAAGAATAATTCAAGCTACGCACGGTCTTGTTTATAATTAAAATGTTTAGCTATACTTCTGAAAATAAATATAATTACTTGTAAGTGTAATGGGAATCGTTTTTGTGAGCGAATATGGAGGTGTATATGGCTATAGCTAGTAATCTTATATAACGGCGTACACAACATAATTTCAAACCGTAAAAGTACTAATTGCTTTCTTCACCATACAAACTGTCAAAAATGTGACAGTCATCTTGGAAGCTCATAAAAATACTTGCGTTGAACTCCACAACTTCTGGAGTAGGCGTTGAGCCAAGGTAGCTCGGAGGGTACCGAAGTTCCAGCGCTTCACTGAGTAGAGCTAAAGCCAAGGCAGACATAATTCAATCAGATTTTGCATATAAAAGTTATAAAGGTTATTCGAATAAACTATTTTAAACAAATCAACTTTTGTTCATTGCCATTGCCGGGTCAGTCATGCACGTTTAGGCCTATGTCTTAAAAAAACATGGACGGCGAACAGCATGACAGGTCTAGATCGCATGGAATTTGAACAGAATATCTCGCTAGCTACCACACAGGCCTCCATCCCCTCAAACTCAGAGCGACAACACTAACGATATTATAATTTGCTATGTTTATATTCCTCCATGCCATGTTGTATAGGCCTCGTTAAAAAAAAAACTTACTTGCGAATAATTGTCCTATTCTTCAACGCTCCTTACTTCCCGACTCCAGCAATCTAATGCTGCGCACACCTTGACTATACTCCTCGTCGATTTTGATCAATTTAGATCTCTGTTTCTTTCATTCTTTCAAAAATGACAAAGAAACCGAAGAAAACCCAACTTCATTTTTTAATCCTCCGTTCGAAAGTGTACACAACTCGAATGCGAAATCGTGTTCTTTACCCTTTTCAAAAAACGCGCGCGCGGACGCACGTTCGTACGCGATGTCCTATCCAGTCTGTGTATATGGAGATCAATGGTAAGGCCACAAACAAAAGTCTCCGGTTTCTGGTATGCGCGCGCGTCGCCGTAGCCATGCGCGTCGGCAAAATGAAAACGTTTTTTTTTTCAATGAAAGATGATGTCTCAAAACAGCCAAACTCACTGGTTTGACTGGAATCCTGCTGCTGCACAATTTTAACGTGTTTTTAGATAGGGTTATGGTCGAGAATAAGCTTTATGTGGCCTCTCTGGACTCCCATAATATTTGCACTAAGTTTAGTCGGGCACCATTTGCAGTCATCAGCCGACATTTGAAGCAAAAAAATCAGGTAAAAAAAAAAAAAAGCCGCGTCGCCGCACCACTTTTTGGGCAAGCTCCATACCAGAAACCGGAGACTTTTTTTTTTGGCCGAAAGCATCTATGGGTAAAAGGCTACAGAATTGTAGAGCGCCGCTACGCGGCGCTCTACAATTCTATAACCTTGATTCAAGTCGCCTGAAAAATGGGTACCCTGTCATCATCTCATCTAGGCGCTTGCGTCAAGTTGA